TTTTATATTCTTAAGTAAATGTAACCAATAACTGTTCAATACTTATGTCTGTTATCCTTCTATAATATATATTATAAATATAAAATCAACGTTACATCTATAAATCATTTTCATCTTTTATTATCTAAATTGGGATTGCAATTGATTATTCCTTTACAAAGAATACTTCCTATAACCCGAGAGTTTTCTATGTTCTATTTTTACTTTATCTGTAAACCTCAGAAAAGATGGACTTAGTGTATCTTTCGCTTTATTTTTTTACCAGTTTATGAAGTTTTCAAAATATGGCCATTATTCACTCCAAAAAATTTTTTTCATTGGTAACCATTCTTTTTCTATGTCTTCTGGCGATTTTTCCTTAGAATTCTTGGAAGAGAAAAGCTGTTAAAATATAATATAATATAATATAATATAATATAATATAATATAATATATATAGAATTATAACACAGAGAATATAAGCATAGAAGCTACTAGGAATTTTCTTGGAAGACCAAAATTCTTAAAATATCTATATTCATTGCTTTTCTTAACTTTGTCAGCCATTCTTCATCTGTTGGTAGTAACCGTAAAGTGGCATGCAGTGTTTCGTATTTTGCAAGGAGAGCAGGGCAGGCACTTTAAAAACTAAATAAAATAAAGCTTATTTTATAAATACCTAAAAAATAATGGAAAGATGCTGTCTGTAGCTATTTAAGCAGCAACCAGACTGTGCCAGTCTTTCTTGGGGTTTGTCCGAATAGCTTTCAAAATCCATTGTGGATTCAAACTCTCTCCAGCTTAGTGTTGGAAATTGTTAATTTTGTTTTGTTTTGTTTTGTTTTTGTTACCATTAACGTCTTTCTAGATTGATCTGGACACCATTGATGTCAGCAATCTCAACAGGCAATTCTTGTTTCAAAAGAAGCACGTTGGAAGATCAAAAGCTCAGGTAAGAATGGTTCCAAAACTTCATTCTCACAGAATCCCTCTCAGTTTCCACATAATTCCGAATATATATATCTTTGGTCCAAAACACATTGCAAAAATAATCCAGTTTGAGACTGCTTTAACTGCCATGGCTCAATGCTAGGAAACCCTGAGATTTGTAGTTTACTGTGGCAGTATACATACATACTCACACACACCAGCTTATTGGTTACAGTAATAAAACTTACAGAAATATTCTCAGCTTTGACTAGTGTTAACTGGTGTTTGTACATTTCTTAGAAATCCATTAGACCATTTCTAATTCATAACAGGGGTTTTATATATTTTTATATTTAAATATCCCTTTGTTCTATGTTTTATTCTTGCTCTTAATGTATTGGTTTCACTTTGTAGGCTTCCATGTTGTCTTTTATGATAAGGCAGTCAGGAAACCCCATAAATAAATTGTACACCTGGTTTGTTCTTGAATGAATTAATTCTACATTTGGGTATCTGTTCTTGGTCTCTTCCAGGTTGCCAAGGAAAGTGTGTTACAGTTTCATCCAAAAGCTAATATTACAGCTTATCATGACAGCATCACAAAGTATGTTTGACATTCTTGTCCTCATGTTTGGAATCTGTATAAGCTAGACATCCAAAGCCTCCACTTTCTAGACAGCTTCCAGTTAATTGTTGGTTAAATTATAGGCATGTTGTTGTTTGCAATATGAAATTACAGCTTGTACAAAATAGTTGTTTAAGCTTCTGAGGTCACCTATATATATTCAGAACAAAAACAAATAGATTTCTACCAGATAATTCTGTCTGGAAATGTTGCAGGCAATTGTGGTATGAAAACAAATGAGGTAAGAGGAAGCT